CAGTGTCCTTGATCACCGCCACATCAATCATAAGATGATGGTGTACTGCACAGTACAGTTGTGAAAAAAAAAATTACTTTATTTCTTGATTTTCAAAAAAACAAAAAAAAAAAAATTGGCATTGACAACTCTCACCGTGCCTCTTACTAAATACCTCAAATATGTATATACCATAGTTTTGTAGATGTTATAACTTTCACACAAACAAATTAATATACACCCTTTGGGATTTTTTTTTTTTTTACCAAAGATGTGTAGAAGAATACATTATGGCCCAAATTTATGAATAAATTTGATTTTTATTGGATATGTTTAACCACTTGCCTGCCGGGCACTTATACCCCCTTCCTGCCCATGTCAATTTTCAGCTTTCAGTGCTGTCGCACTTTGAATGACAATTGCGCGGTTATGCAACATTGTATCCATATGAAATTTATATAATTTTTTCACACAAATAGAGCTTTCTTTTGGTGGTATTTGATCACCACTGAGTTTTTTATTTTTTGCACTATAAAACAAAAAAAAGAGCAAAAAAAAAAAAAGTTTTTCTTTGTTTCTATTATAAAATTTTGCAAACAGGTAATTTTTCTCCTTCACTGATGTGCGTTGATGAGGCTGCACTGATGGGCACTGATGAGGTGGCATGGATAGGCAGCACTGATGAGGGGGCATGGATAGGCAGCACTGATAGGCTGCACTGAAGAGTTGGCACTGATGGGCATTGATGAGGAGGCACTGATAAGCAGCAATGATGGTCACTGATAGGCGGCACTGGTGGGTGGCACTGCTGGGCAGCACTGCAGGGCACTGATCATCAGGGCATTGATCATCAATGCCCTGATGATCAGTGCCCATCTGCTATGTGACAGCTGCTGGTGATCGGCAGTACTTTCCTCACGCTGTGACAGTGTGAGGAAAGTGCAGCCGATAACCAGCAACTCTATTTACTCTGGGATCTGCTGTCATTGGACACGGCTGATCACCTGGTAAAGGTCGCTGTGATTGTCCTTTTACTTCATCACGTGATCAGCTGTATCCGTAGGCGGGAAGTTCAAAAATTTTAAAAGTGACATTTACTAAATACACTAAAATCACATAGTATAACATTCCTGTATCAAACCATTTCACATACATTTTGTCCCGAGTGCTTTGTCCTGTGCCCTGCCTGCATTTTTACTGTTCTTTCTGCCTGGAAACTGAGAAACGTTCATGGCGTCCAAAAAGCATCCCTTTAGGTCAAAATCGGTTTTAGACCGGCTAGAGAACAGCGATAGTAAATCAGAACCACTTGCAGAATTGAGTGATAATGATTCGTGGGGGAAATTCCTCATCAGACACTGAAAACTCACTGATGTGCGAACTTGGCGCTATATTTTAAATTTCAGTGTTTTTGGTTTGATTATATTATTGAATTAAATTTATTAATATTATTTTTTATGATTATTATTATAATTTATGATTTCATGTTTCAAATTTTATCCTACCCGGGATGTTTACTAGACTCTTGTTCGGACAGATTTCAGTGAGTTATTCCTAAGAATGACAGGCCTACAATAAAAAAAATACATATTTCCATGCAAAAAAAATGTACCGCTTTGAGCACAGAAATACTGACATAATCATACCGCTAGGGAGGTTAAAACGTCCCGTGTCCATGGAGCCTTCTTCTTGGTGAGCCAAATATTTCTCCTATTCCAGAGGAGTGGAGTCTTTTTTAGTTGCACAGGGAAAAGGGGACAACTCCACATTATTACCCACAGTTCTTGAATGAGGATGTTCAACATGCTGGTATGGGTGTGATGAGCAGGTGTTCCTGAACGTCTGCCCCTATAGTGCACATTATTGCTGGAGCAGCACAATGCTCTGTGCTGGGTGTACCCCCCCCCCCCCCCCCCCACTGTCAACTGTTATTCTGCTGCAGCTGGAAAATGCAGTAAAACAAAGAATACAATATATTAAGCAACTTTCCGACTGTTCCGCGTTCACATAAGAGCAGACAAATTCTGTTGGTGACAGTATGGAGCAGAACGTTTACCATGGCAGTCTGTTGTAAGGGAGCTTCTGTTTTCTTTGGTGTCTAGGTACGGCTTCGGTGGCGCTGGCTGGTCTTCTCGCCACGCAGAACGCCATTAATAAACCCATCACAGAGCAAAGGGTTCTGTTCCTTGGTGCTGGAGAGGTATGTAAGGATTTTTTTCTTTTGGGTATATGCATATCATAATAGAGGAAAAAATAAATTCTACTGATCACTGAAGCAGGAGATGGTGTCAGAATCTTATTGCCACACCCTGACTGTCAAACTCAGGAGGGCGCCTACTGTAGGGTATAATAGGTACTGCAGTCTTATCTGGAGGTAGATGCAGAACTCCACAAACAACTTTTTTTTTAGCTTACTAAAGCACTTTTTTTGTGTCTCAGTGCTGCTGATCCCCTGTAGCTTTTTTCAGCCACTTCCCATCTACATACACAAACTGCTTCACATCATTGCTCTGCACCCGTTAGTGGCAGTGATGGGCTATGCTTGCCTTATGTGGGCTACTTGTAGTCTCAACCAAGGGGATATGAGACCGGGTGACGATACAAAAGCATAATTGTCACCCCCAGAAATGGCTGAACAAGGACCTTCATGGGAGGATCATAAGGGTTTGTTTGTTTGGTTTTTTTATTGTTTTGCTTTTTTTTTTTTCTTTTTTTTTTTTAAATGATAGCTTTTGAAATGACAAAAATATATTAAAGGCTAGCACCCCATATTTGGGGTGTAACATGGAGCCAAGTGGAGACAACCCACCATCACAGCTGCAGCAAAAGGACTCAGAACTTTCAACGAAACACAAGGGTGGTGGTCTTCACACTCGTAGTCCATTGACACTTCATCCAGCCCTCCAACTGAAAGCCCGTACCTCCGTATAGACAAGGAGCTGGAAAAGGGTCTGCAGGAGCCTGGCATTGCACTTGCTGATAGTGTGGTAGCATGCTGGTGCCTTCCTGTCTGCTGCACATTCCTGTTGGACAGTGAGGCTGCCAACAGAAATGTATAGAGTGGGGTTTGGCACAAAACTCATCAATACCTGGAAGTTTCTACGTTTAGACCTGCATTCTACTTTCTAGCATATGAGCCCTACAGCAATGCTTATTGGCTCCATGTTCTGCTTCTCCTGCCCCCAGAGCTCCACTGTAGACAGCTAATTCCTGGTGATATTTATGTACTTGCACTTGCCCTGCTTGCATTTAAAAAATACATTTTATAGTATATTAATGCACACAATTACCGTATTTTTCGCTTCATAAGACGCAATTGTTTTCCCCAAAAAATGGTGGGAAATGTCAGTGCGTCAGCCGGGTGCCTACTGTGCATACGCGATAAGCTCTGTGTTTTGTGAATGGTCCGGCAGTCTTCTGGAACCTGTCACGTGTCCCACAAGACAACGGGGAGGGAAGACAACTCTGCGGAAGTGGAAGCAGTTACCTGTCAAATTCAGGGACCCCCCGCTCCCCCCCTTCCGCTCCCCATAGGTCTGCAGTCTCTGGTCATCTCCTGTACTGTGTCCGCAGTCTCTGGTCATCTCCTGTACTATGTCCTCAGTCTCTGGTCATCTCCTGTACTGTGTCCGTAGTCTCTGGTCATCTCCTGTACTGTGTCCGCAGTCTCTGGTCATCTCCTGTACTATGTCTGCAGTCTCTGGTCATCTCCTGTACTGTGTCCGCAGTCTCTGGTCATCTCCTGTACTATGTCCGCAGTCTCTGGTCATCTCCTGTACTATGTCTGCAGTCTCTGGTCATCTCCTGTACTATGTCTGCAGTCTCTGGTCATCTCCTGTACTATGTCTGCAGTCTCTGGTCATCTCCTGTACTATGTTCGCAGTCTCTGGTCATCTTCTGTACTATGTCCGCAGTCTCTGGTCATGTCCGCAGTCTCTGGTCATCTTCTGTACTATGTCCGCAGTCTCTGGTCATCTTCTGTACTATGTTCGCAGTCTCTGGTCATCTCCTGTACTGTGTCCGCAGTCTCTGGTCATCTCCTGTACTGTGTCCGCAGTCTCTGGTCATCTCCTGTACTGTGTCCGCAGTCTCTGGTCATGTCCGCAGTCTCTGGTCATCTTCTGTACTATGTCCGCAGTCTCTGGTCATCTCCTGTACTGTGTCCGCAGTCTCTGGTCATCTCCTGTACTGTGTCTGCAGTCTCTGGTCATCTCCTGTACTATGTCTGCAGTCTCTGGTCATCTCCTGTACTATGTCTGCAGTCTCTGGTCATCTCCTGTACTATGTCTGCAGTCTCTGGTCATCTCCTGTACTATGTCTGCAGTCTCTGGTCATCTCCTGTACTATGTTCGCAGTCTCTGGTCATCTCCTGTACTATGTCCGCGCAGTCTCTGGTCATCTCCTGTACTATGTCCGCAGTCTCTGGTCATCTTCTGTACTGTGTCCGTAGTCTCTGGTCATCTCCTGTACTATGTCCGTAGTCTCTGGTCATCTCCTGTACTATGTCCGCAGTCTCTGGTCATCTCCTGTACTGTGTCCGTAGTCTCTGGTCATCTCCTGTACTATGTCCGTAGTCTCTGGTCATCTCCTGTACTATGTCCGTAGTCTCTGGTCATCTCCTGTACTATGTTCGCAGTCTCTGGTCATCTCCTGTACTATGTCCTCAGTCTCTGGTCATCTCCTGTACTATGTCCGCAGTCTCTGGTCATCTCCTGTACTATGTCCTCAGTCTCTGGTCATCCCTGTACTATGTCCGCAGTCTCTGGTCATCTCCTGTACTGTGTCCGCAGTCTCTGGTCATCTCCTGTACTATGTCCGCAGTCTCTGGTCATCCCTGTACTATGTCCGCAGTCTCTGGTCATCTCCTGTACTGTGTCCGCAGTCTCTGGTCATCTCCTGTACTATGTCTGCAGTCTCTGGTCATCTCCTGTACTATGTCTGCAGTCTCTGGTCATCTCCTGTACTATGTCTGCAGTCCATTGGTTCAGAATATTTTTTTTCTTGTTTTCCTCCTCTAAAACCTAGGTGCGTCTTATGGAGTGAAAAATATGGTGTTTAATTTAATGTGTTTATTTTATATCCTGGAGCCCAGCTTGAGCAGCGTGGACAGGCAGCAGTTTCTTCTGATGAATGTAATAAATCTGACTATTTACAATGATCCCAGGTCGTCAGGCTTGCTATTCCACTTTGCTAGGGTTATACATTTAGTGTCAGCTGTCACACTAGATTAAACTCTAACTAAAATAACCTGCTTCCTACATCCTCCAGGCAGCTTTAGGTATTGCAAACCTCATTGTCATGGCCATGATGGAGAACGGCATCTCAGCAGAGGAGGCTCGAGAGAAGATATGGATGTTTGATAAATATGGATTACTGGTCCAGGTGAGCCACACTAAAGCGGAACTGCAGTGCATCTGAACATCACAAACCAAAAACAATATTTCATTCATTTTTAAAGGATAAGTTCACCTTTTAGTAAAAAAAATAGTAAATGCACATTTTTTTGCAGGTAAATTTTTGTCTGCAGGAGCCTGTAAAGCAGGGGTGTCAAACTTGTGGCCCTCCAGCTGTTGCGAAACTACAAGTCCCATCATGCCTATGCCTTTGGGAGTCCTGCTTGTAACTGTCAATCTTGCAATGCCTCATGGGACTTGTAGTTTGGCAACAGCTGGAGGGCCACCAGTTTTACACCCGTGATGTAAAGCATTGCACCAGTGATCAGTAGGTCGCTGGTGCCATGCAGGTCTCCTGCAGACCTGTCAGAATATCTGCTTGCCCATACAGGATGTACAAGCAAACTGACATACTGACAGGAAGAATCAGTGAACTACCATGGGGCTCTATAGCACTGTGGTATTTCTTTGAGGACTACAAAATGATAGCCGCTAAGGCTGCCTGGACTTGTAGTCTCTAATTCACAGAATGCTGTGAATGAGTGATGCGGCCATGTGGGAGGAGCCCCACACAGCCACGTTTATTAAAAATTTGACAGCTAAAGGGGGGGGGGGAGATTGCCTGCTAGCGGGAAGTGGGGGTTGGTCAGATTGTAATATGTTACATGACGCACCCTGAATATGGGTGTAACATGTTACGAAAGGTGAACTTATCCTTTAATATTCAAAGCAAACCCCCTCATCCATCCATGTCTCCATGTATTATTTTGTTGAGAAATCACTTTAAAAAAAAAAAAAAAAACCCTAGCATTTCTGGCTGTGACCATCTTGAGTAAGGGTTTATGTAGCATTTGCCTTCTAGAATCCATCTGCCCTTAGCACAGACATACAGGCAGGAGGGTGTGCTTAGCTGAGAAAACCCCTCCTCTCCAGAAGACTCCTGGGATGTATGACTTTATTTGCCTAGACCAGAAACCAGGAAGTAACTGAAGAAATGCAAAAAAAAAAGTAAATATAATATATTTTCCTATCTGTTTACTAATGCTAACAGCAGAAGGAATAAAAATAGTCTGTTGATTGAGAGAGTGAAGTTCTGCTTTAATATCTGTGAGTATATGTAGCCAGATATTTCTTTCTTTCTCCCCCATTGGGGATCGCAGGAAGTCTTAAAGGATAATTCCCCCTTTACATGTTACAGTTGTATTTAGGGTGTACATATATCATTTTCCTAAGCACTTGCACCCCCCCCCCCCCCCCCCCCCCGGCCCCACCTCCATGACAACATGCAGAGGTTCCTCTCCCTTGCAGCTGCCATCATATTTAAAATTGGTGTGATTGTGCAGGGCTTCTTCTGCACAGCCGCACCCGTGAATAAATAGACTACAAGTCCCATCTGCCACCGTGGCAGATGGACTTGTAGCTCTTAATGTACTACGAGTTCGGAAATCCGCAATGGCAGTGTTCATCGGCAGACTAAAGGCCTTCATATTTGTCAATGAAGCCTAAAAAGAACAGTAACAACAAGCGCTAGATGTCAAATAACAAGGATAGGCTAGCCGCTGACATGAGAAGTAAACCTCTAAAAACTTCTGAACTAAGATTCATCAATAAAATGTAGCGCTATTTGCCGGATTAAAATAAATATAAAATAATGAACGAAAAATAAATATATATATATAAAGTTCATGCAAGATGGACGTGACTCTTGTGATGCGTCAAAGAATGGTACAGCAGAGTAATCGTGACTCTTGTGGTAGTAGGACTGGATGTAGATTGCACTAACTGGATGCATAAGGGGATTATGCATGGAGTATTGAGGACCTACTCCTGGTGCTCTGGATGTGGGACACTGGAAGGGTAGTCGTCATCTTAAATCACGCCACTAGATGTCATGTATCCCAAATCAATGGAAAACCTCAATAGATTTCGACATCATTATTATTACATCGAGTTTATATAGCGCCAAAGGGTTTGCTCAGCGCTGTACAATAGAGGGGGGGCAATACATGAAACAGTACAGCAACTACAAACAGCACACGAGGGTTAAGGGGGCCCTACTCTTTCGAGCTTACAATCTAGGAGGGAGGGGGTAGTGGTACAGGAGGAAGTGGTTGTGGGGGATGGAGTGGTAGGAGGAATGAAGGAGAACGGCTGTTGGGTGAGGGTGGGGTAGGCTTCCCTGAAGAGGTGGGTTTTCAGGGGCGCCTGAAGGTGAGGAGGGAAGGTGACAGTCTGATGGATTGGGGTAGTGAGTTCCAGAGGATGGGGGAGGACCTGGAGAAGTCTTGAAGTCGTGCGTGGGAGGAGGAGACCAGGGAGCAAGATAGAAGGAGGTCCTGTGAAGAGCGAAGGGTACGGGTAGGGTGGTACCTGGGGATCAGGTTGGTGAGGCAGTTAGGGGCAGTGTTGTGAATGGCTTTGTAGGTCAGAGTGAGTAGTTTGAATTTGATGCGTTGGGCAATCGGGAGCCAGTGGAGGGAGAGGCAGAGGGGGGTGGCAGAGGTGGAGCGGTTGGTGAGGTGGTTGAGTCTAGCCGCTGAGTTCAGGATGGTCTGAAGCGGGAGAGCCTGCACTGGGGTAGGCCGGTGAGGAGGGAGTTGCAGTAGTCCAGGCGTGAGATAATCAGGGAGTGTACAAGTAGTTTAGTGGTGTCTGGGGTAAGGAAGGAGCGTATCTTGGCGATGTTCCGGAGGTGGAGCCTGCATGTGTTTGTAAGTGATTTGACATGAGGTTGGAAGGAAAGGCTTGAGTCCAGAATGACGCCAAGGACTTTGGCTTGCGGGGCGGGATTGATGGTGGTGGTGTTGGTAGTGATGGATAGGATGGGGGGTGGTGGGTGGGGGGGGGGGGGGGGGGGGCGCGGGCTGGGGGGAAGACGAGAAGCTCGGTTTTGGACATCAGCCACCAAGGGGATCATCCCAATCATCATACAGCAGTGCAGCAGGAAGCGATGAAAACCTTCAAAAGGCCAGGGCTCCCATAAAAGAGCCCCAGGGCAGAAGCTATGATAGTGTAGTAACTTTATTGATGAATAAGGCAAATACAAAACAAAAACACACTTACAGTATTGGCACGATAACCACCAGCCTTCCTTAACAGGCCATGCGGTATGTAGTAGTGGTTGGGGGGCACCTCCCTGACGGGGCCCCTTTCATAACGTGTAAATTACAGGAAATGCGTCAGGGTGGTGCCCCCCAACCACTACTACATACCGCATGGCCTGTCACCGGCCTACCCCAGTGCAGGCTCTCCCCGCTTCAGACCATCCTGAACTCAGCGGCTAGACTCATCCACCTCACCAAGCACTCCACCTCCGCCACCCCCCTCTGCCTATCCCTCCACTGGCTCCCTATTGCCCAACGCATCAAATTCAAACTACTAACTCTGACCTACAAAGCCATTCACAACACTGCCCCTAACTACCTCACCAACTGATTCCCAGGTACCACCCTACCCGTACCCTTCGCTCTTCACAGGACCTCCTTCTATCTTGCTCCCTGGTCTCCTCCTCCCACGCACGACTGCAAGACTTCTCCAGGTCCTCCCCCATCCTCTGGAACTCACTACCCCAATCCATCAGACTGTCACCTTCCCTCCTCACCTTCAGGCGCTCCCTGAAAACCCACCTCTTCAGGGAAGCCTACCCCGCCCTCACCTAACAGCCATTCTCCTTCATTCCTCCTACCACTCCATCCCCCACAGCCACTTCCTCCTGTACCACTACCCCCTCCCTCCTAGATTGTAAGCTCGAAAGAGTAGGGCCCTCTAACCCTCGTGTGCTGTTTGTAGTTGCTGTACTGTTTCATGTATTGCCCCCCCTCTATTGTACAGCGCTGAGCAAACCCTTTGGCGCAATATAAACTCGATGTAATAATAATGTCGAGATCTATTGAGGTTTTCCATTGATTTGGGATACATGACATCTAGTGGCGTGATTTAAGATGACTACCCTTCCAGTGTCTCACATCCAGAGCACCAGGAGTAGGTCTTAAATACTCCATGCATAATCTCCTTATGCAGTTAGTGCAATCTACATCCAGTCCTACTACCACAAGAGTCACGATTACTCTGCTGTACCATTCTTTGACGCATCACAAGAGTCACGTCCATCTTGCATGAACTTTATATATATTATATTTATTTTTCGTTCATTATTTTATATTTATTTTAATCTGGCAATAGAGCTACATTTTATTGATTATTGTCAATGAAGCCTGCTTGTGATCAATATATATCAGAGCTGACATAGTGTCAATGCAGTGTGAAGGCGGCGCACATCCAACAGCCCAATGTGTGATCATAGTACTTCCTTCTAAGCCACACCCACTGACACGTTTCACCCCAATCCGAGGCTTAGCATAATGCGTCAGTAGGCGTGGCTTAGGAAGAGCTGAGGCCGCTTTCTATTATATCACATATTGGGCTGTTGGACGTGCGGCACCTTCACACTGCATTGATATGATGTCCCTGGAATGAGCATTTAGACGCCAGCACTCGCCTATACAGTGGATTGCCGGAGCAGCATACTTGGCACTGTACTTGGCACTGTAATCGGCGCTCTAAGCCATTTTTGTGGGTCGTAGTGATAGCTGACATAGTGGTGAAATAATCGCAGCTCTGATTGGTCCTGCTAATCAGTGGTCAATGACATATAGGATTGAGAGCAAGCAGCCACGCACAAGTTGCGTCCACACCACGCGGACGCTGGCTCACATAGGGAAGTATGGTTAGTAACATTCCTAGGCACGGAGCATGGTGATGAAGAAGAAGAATACGCGGATTGCAGGAGGGGAGGGGATAGTCTGATCTAGTATTGCCAAAAAAATCTGATTTTGTAACCTGGGTGGGCTGGAATGTTTTGCTTATGATTTGCGATGTAAAAATCGATTTCATGTTTTTTTTACTGTCCCCTTCAGCGGGTGGTGCAGTCAGTGATGATATTTTAAATAGTGGAAAGGAATCCTACACATCTTGGCACAGAAGATTCAGCAGCTGCTGTAGGACGAGCCTCAAGCCGGAGCCAAGGAGCTTAGCCAAGAATCTTGCACCATCTAAATGTGTTTTTAACAATGATAATAGTTTGAGATAATCAGTGGGGCGTCCCTGAAAATGCGCACTGTGCTGGCAGAGAAGTTAGCAATGCATTATGTATTGCACATAAGTTAAAAAAAAAAATACATGTTTTTGTTTCTTTTTTTTTTTTTCATATAGGGACGTGATGAAGGCGTAGATGGTAACCAAGAGTCCTTTGCACACTCCTCTCCTGATCAGTCTGTGAAAAGCTTTCTGGATGCCGTCAATGTTCTGAAGCCCACAGCCATTATAGGTAAGGCTTGATTGAGGTATTATGACCATATATTATTATTATTTCAGGTACTATATATATATATATAATATATATATATTATACATTCATATCAGTCCCTAACCCTCAAGGGGTGTACAATCTAAGGTCCCTAACTCACATTCATACATACACATACTAGGGACAATTTAGACAGGAGCCAATTCACCTCCCAGCATGTCTTTGGAGCGTGGGAGGAAACTGGAGCAACCGGAGGAAACCCACGCAGGCACAGGGAGAACATGCAGGTGGTGCCGTGACTGGGATTCGAACCAATGACCCTAGTACTGCCAGGTGGAAGTCTTAAACATTTAGCGTGTGTGTGTGTGTTTTTGTTAAAGGGCCACTTCACATCAAACAATTTATTTCAGGTTTGGCGAAGTGCCAGCTTACTGTAAGGGCTCATTTACACTTGCTTTGATTTTTACACACATTAAAGCGCCTACTGCTTCAACATGCATTTTTGATGCTTCTCTGTGTGTGTTGAATTTCTATTTGTTTTAGGGTCGGTTCACAACAGGGGCGGACTGACCATTTGGAAACTCGGGCACTGCCCGAGGGCCCGGGGTCAGTAGGGGGCCCCATGAGATGCCCCTGGTACCTTTTTCATAGGCTTTTTTGAGTTTGGGCAAGGACACAGGCGCCCCATGATCACCTACTGCCCGGGGGCCCCATGAGTTGCCCTGGTTCACACCATAGAAATACAGTCCAGATGCTTTCCTGCATGCACATTATGGTGCGGTTTTGATATGTTCATTTTTTTTTTTTTTTCCCCTCTCTTTCTTTCAATTTCAATAGGGACATGTGCGTTTTTGGTGCATTCTACCGCGGTCCAGTGCAGATCTGTGCAGGAAAAATGCAGTCTTTTTTTTTCTTTCCTGCAACCGGAACGCACTGGAACTGCAAGCTCTGTGTGTTTTGGATGTAGAAAAAAGCAACTGAAAAACGCATGTAGTGTGAACTGGCCCTTAGGCCTGGTTTATACCATGCCCACATCTGAATCGTACAGGAACGTGCTGTGCATTCCTGTGCGATTCACATGTGGTTCTGTGGTGCAATTTCAGCTCATTCATTTTGAATGAGCTGAAATCGCACCGCACCAATAGTGCATGCACTACTTTTTTAAAACACACAGCAACTGGATCGCATAGTGCAATAGTGTTGTTAACGTTATATGGACACCCATTGCAAATCACAAATGTAGTGCATTTTGCACGTGGTTTGAATTGCACAGGAACGCAGAGTGCGATTCAAATGTGGGCATGGTCTGAACTGGCCCTAAAAGAGGGGGACTCAGTAGTAGTTCAGTAGTAGCCCAACTCCATAATCCCCCCACTCAGCAGATCCCCACCTCAGTAATACCCCCACTCAACAGATCCCCAACTCAGTAATACCCCCCCCACTCAGCAGATCCCCCACTCACTCAGTAATACCCCCACTCAACCGATCCCCAACTCAGTAATACCCCCACTCAGCAGATCCCCAACTCAGTAATACCCTCACTCAGCTGATCCCCAGCTCATTAGTACCCTCACTCAGCAGATCCCCAGCTCATTAGTACCCTCACTCAGCAGATCCCCAACTCAGTAATACCCCCACTCAGTTTATCCCCAGCTCATTAGTACCCTCACTCAGCAGATCCCCAGCTCATTAGTACCCTCACTCAGCAGATCCCCAACTCAGTAATAGCCCCCAGCTCTCAGCAGATCCCCAGGTATTTAGTACCCTCGTTCAGCAGATCCCTGGCTCAGTAGTACCTCCATCTCTTCTGATCCCCCACTCAGTAGTTACCCCCATATCTGCTGATTCTTTGATTTCCCGCTCACCTCCCGCTATATTGCTCCCATGCTGCGCACCACATGTGACATCTGCTAATTTATCCTCCTCCTGTCCCCCAGCTCTGCTGATCCTCTGCCGCCCAGTCCTCTCTCTCCAATCCACACTCACCTTCCTCTATAGTATTCCCATATTGCATACGTGTGCCTTCTGTTAGTTGCTCCACTCCAGCCTGGACCCCGGTCACCTTTCTGCTGCTCACCAGATGTGATGTCTGCACCAGACACTCCCAGAATATATACACATGAACCAAAGTGACTGCTGATTACATTTTTCTGGTTCGATTTTTGGTTTCTCAGTTCATCCTGGGATTTCTCACACCTGCAATACCTCCAAAACAAAGCGAAGCTAATTGAATAAAAGCCTCTCAAATGCTGTAGGCAAACATTGTGATAGATTTCTGTGGAGACTTTGGAAATTCTTTGAAGCACCAAGAAAGTCACATGGGGTATAATTTTTGAAGCAAAGCAAACGCAACAGTGTGAACAGGACTGTAAGCGTACCATTTTATTTAGTGAGAGGTGTTTTGATTGGCATTCAGAGTGCTTTAAAAAAGCATGTCCAGTGTCACATTTTGAAGTGAGTGTAAACGAGGCCTAGAGGTCAGTCCACCCAAAAGTGATGTTTTACTCATGTTGAGCCTGGTGGGCTGATTCACCCCGTCTATGTCTTGGATATTCCAACAAAGAGATCCCCTTGATATAATTCCAGTCCTGCCCACCTTTGTGTGTTCCAGCACTTCTGCATTCTCTAGAACATAAATTACCTTTACAAAATCCAAACATGTAGTGTGGGAACCTCGAATAATGGATGTTGCAGATGCATAGATCCAGCACAGTGGCTAAATGGTTAGCACGTCCGCCTGGCAGTACTCAGGTCGTTGGTTTGAATCCCAACCACAGCACAACCTGCCTGGAGTTTGCATGTTCTCCCTGTGCCTGTATGAGTTTCCTCCGGCTACTCCGGTTTCCTCCCACTCTCCAAAGACATGCTGGTAGGTGAATTGGCTCCTGTCTAAATTGTCCCTAGTATGTGTATGTATGAATGTGAGTTAGGGACCTTAGATTGTACGTCCCTTGAGGGTTTTGGACTGATGTGAATGTACAATAATATATATATATATATATATGTGTGTGTGTGTGTGTAATGCGCTGCGTAAATGGACGGCGCTATATAGTACCTGAAATAAAATAAAATAATACTCCCTTACAGAGATTAGGAATGCACTGATGCTGTTTTTGTTTTGTTTTTTAATTGGAGAGTACAAGTGTTAATACTTTCGGTCAATGACTCGCCGATGCTGATACTTTGCAGTGCGATTTGCATTAATGGGCGCAAATTGAAATGCAAAGAATAGCATATGACTTGAACTAGGATGCGATTCCTGTCCAAATCACATGCGGTTTCCCCACTGCTCCTGTGTGATCCCAGGCTTGTCATAGCCCGAGGTCACACGGGAGCGGTCCTGGAAACCTCCTGCAGGCATCCCATGCTGAGTGTCAGGGATTTGAAATCCCCACTGCTTTCTTTCCTCTCCTTGCAGTGATGACAGTTCTGCAGGGAGGTTTTCCGCACCGATCCTGTGTGAACTTGGGCTATGACAAGCCTGGGATCACACAGAAGCAGTGGGGAAACCGAATACGATTTGGACAGTATCGGTTAAAGTATCAGGAGTACAAAAACACTCTGCATCGGCACCGATACCAGTATTGGTGCATCCCTAGCAGAGATCTTACCAGTAGAGTCCCCCAAGATATAAGAAGCTACATTTTTTTTTTTTTTTGTTTACAAAAGTTTTTGTTAGGAGAAAGAGACTACAAAAACTGCACCATTTTGTGAGGTAGAATAAACAGCTTGAAAAAAAGCATATATAGGAAATGAACAGAAATACAAAGTACAATCATGAAAGTATAAAAAAAAAAACAGTTCATGAAAGAGGTAGTCAATATTATTGGCAGAACAACCACAAGATCAATAAAAGGTTCGATACAAAACAACCCATGATAGACCATCAATCGAATAATAAGTGTTGATGCATTTTCAACACAAAAGTGGGCAGCACAGTGGCTAAATGGTTAGCACTTCCACCTGGCAGTACTCGGGTCGTTGGTTCAAATCCCAGCCACGGCACCACCAGCCTGGAGTTTGCATGTTCTCCCTGTGCCTGTGTGGGTTTCCTCTGGGTACTCCGGTTTCCTCCCACACTCCAAAGACATGCTGGTAGGTTAATTGGATCCTGTCTAAATTCACCCTAGTATGTGTATGTATGAATGTGAGTTAGGGACCTTAGATTGTACACCCCTTGAGGGTTAGGGACTGATGTGAATGTACAATATATATATGTAAAGCGCTGCGTAAATTGACGGCGCTATATAAGTACCTGAAATAAATAAATAAATTCTCCAACTTTCCCATTTCTTGTTGAATAAATGCATCCTATCCAGCAACGTATATTGAATACGTTCCATAGGCATAACCATATCAACTCTCCTGAAGACTGAAGCCAAAGTGACGACTGGAGATTTCCAATAAAGAGCAATGGTCCATAGGGTGGATTTGCAGATAGTGTGAATTAGCATCATTTAGTTAACTGGGATCCCCGAAAGTGAAACACCCAATAAGCAAATTTGCAAGGATAAATCCTCCAGTGAACCTGCCAAAGCGGAAGCCACCTCCGAAATCCTACGCCAGATCAAGGAAAGACCGGGGCAAACCCAAAATACATGTAGAAGGGTACCAGCCAAGCCACACCCCCTAAAGCAAAGGTGCTAAGTTCCCGGAAACATGACATGAAGTCTGGAGGGGGTATAGTACCAGCCAGTTAAAACCTTCAGGGCCGTCTCACGAACCGAAAGCGATCAAGAGCCCTTCCGTAAGAAGCCACATTTTTTGTCTATGAAGCCTCAAGACAGATGCTTCTTTAAACCTATCCAAGGTAACAATGATCACATTAAATGATATTCTCTATTTAGGTGTTGCTGGGGCTGGAAGACTGTTTCCAGAAGACGTTGTTAAGGCAATGAATGCAATTAATGAGAGGCCGGTCATATTTGCTCTCAGTAATCCAACCACAAAGGCGGAGTGTACGGCGGAGGAAGCGTATACATGGTCAGAGGTAAAATGACGTTGCAGATTAAAGACTAATTTTATGTTTAGCTTTAAATTAGTTAAATGCATTCCTAGTGTATTATAACAAAAGGTGTGCAAAGTTACATAGTTAGTCTGGCTGAAAAAAGACAAAAGTCCATCTAGTTTAACCATTAAAAAAAAAAAAAAAAAGTTATAATCCTACACCCACAGTTGATCCAGAGGAAGGCAAAAAAAATACCCAGCAAAGCATGATCCAATTTGCTCCTGCAGGGAAAAAAATTAATTCCTGATCCCCTGAGAGGCAATCGGATATTCCCTGGATCAACTTTACCTATAAATGTTATACCCAGTTATATTCTGTGTATCTAGGAAAGAATCTAGGACTTTTTTAAAGCAAAATCCACTGAGCTGGCCAGAACCAACTCTTGAGGGAGTCTATTCCACATCTCTTACTGTGAAGAAACCTTTCCATGTTTAGAGATTACATTTCTTTTCCTCCAGACGTAAAGAGCGCCCCCTTGTCCTCTGTGATGACCTCAGGGTGAATAACTCTACACCGAGTTCACTATATGAACCACTGATGTCTTAGAGTTTCACTTTCTTTCCTCTCCTCGCAACGATGATAGTTTGGACTAGAAGGCATCTTGATTGGTCAGCAGCTGTGACCAATCTAATGCCGCCTAGCCTGAACTGTCATCACTGCAAGGAGAAGAGAGAAAGCGGTGGAGCTTTCAAATCCCTGCCGCTTTCTGCCCTCTCCTACCACTGAGACTGAGTATGGGATGCCTGCAAGCAGGTTTCCAGCACCGCTCCTGTGTGAGCTCGGGCTATGACAATTCTGGGTTCACACAGGAGCAGTGGGGAAACCGCATGCTATTTGGACAGGAATACATTCCTGTTCAAATTGCATGCTATTCTTTGCGGGTCAATTTGCATCCATTAACGCAAATTGCACCACAAAGTATCAGTATTCGTAACGTTGAGTACTTGACCGAAAGTGTTGGTACTCGTACTCGCCGATAGAAAAAAAAACCCAGTATCGGTGCATCAATAATTAAAAGTCAGCTGCTACAAAAACTGTATTGGCTGACTTTTAATAAACAGACACTCGCCTGTCCCAGGATCCATTCATGTGTTCAACTCAGCTATTCTTTGTATTGGTGACCTGTCCCCAGCATCTCAACTGCGGGCTTCAGAGCCCAGATGCCCACTGTGCATGCGTGAGCCATGCTATGCTTTTTGAATGGTCCCGCAGTCTTGTGGGACATGTGACGTGTTCCAGAAGACTGCCGAGAGGGGGGGCGGGGACTTCTGCTCAGATCGCTTAAGCGGTCGGAGCAGAAGTGGGAATGAGTACCTGTCACAACCAGGTAACCCCCCTTCCCTCCAAAAACAAGTGCCATTGCGTAAAGACGAGGGGGAAATGAGTTCTTTACAGTGAAGGAAATAAGTATTTGCTCCCCTGCTGATTTTTGAATGTTCGCCCACTCACAAAGAAATGATCAGTCTAAAAATCGAATGTTCGGTGTATTGTAACACTGAGAGACAGAAGAGCAACAAACAATTCAAAAGACATGCATGTCTAACAAATGATGCACTGATTTGCATGTCCATGAGGGAAATAAGTATTTGATCCCCTTCACAAAACATGACTTAATACTTGGTGGCAAATCCCTTGTTGGCAATCACAGAGGTCAGACGTTTCCTGAAGTTGGCCCCCAGGTTTGCACACATCTCAGGAGGGATTTTGGCCCACTCCTCTTGGCAGATCCTCTCCAAGTCATTAAGGTTTGGTGGCTGACGTTTGAAAATCTGTGGAGGGAGCTGAAAGCTCCCTCGAGTTGCCAATCAGATTAAGGTCTGTAGACTGGCTAGGCCACATGTCCAGGCAAACTTCAGACGGGCCTGGACATGTGCTTTCTTGAGCAGCGGGACCTTGCAGGCACTTCGGGATTTCAATCCTTGTCAGCGTAGTGTGTTACCAATTGTTTTCTTGGTGACTGTGGTCCCAGCTGCCTGGAAATCATTGACAAGATCCTCACGTGTAGTTCTGGGATGATTCCTCATTGTTCTCATGATCATTGACACTCCACGAGGTGAGATCTTGCATGGTGCACCAGACCTAGGGAGACTGACAGTTGTTTTGTGTTTCTTCCATTTGCGAATGATTGCACCAACTGTTGTCACCTCACCAAGCTGCTTGCCGATAGTTTGGTAGCCCAGTCCAGCCTTGTGTAGGTCTACAATCTTGTCCCTGACATCCTTGGACAGCTCTTTGGTCTTTGCCATGGTGGAGAGTTTGGAATCTGATGGTTTGATTGCTCCTGTGGACAGGGGTCTTTTATATAGGGAACAAAATGAGATTAGCAGCACTCCCTTTAAGAGACTGCTTCTAATCTCAGCTTATTACCTATATGAAAGACACCTGGTAGCCAGAAATGATAGCGGATCAAATACTTATTTCCCTCATGAACATGCAAATCAGTGCATCATTTGTTAGACATGCATTTCTTTTGAATTTTTTGTTGCTATTCTGTGTCTCAGTCTTACAATACACCTACCATTCAATTTTTAGACTGATCATTTCTTTGTGAGTGGGCAAACATTCAAATTCAGCAGGGGATCAAATACTTATTTCCTTCACTGTAAGTGGAACTTTCCCATTTAGGTGGTGCTCCGCTTTAAAGTGACATTCCAGTCAAACCCTAGCTAAGTCTAAACCTACACCCACGCCCATTCTAAACCTAATCTATTGAACCTGCGAAAAGAAAAATACCTATACTTGCCTATTCTGAAACCGCTCTGATCTGGTCACATGATCTCACCAGTGCCAGCTTCATTGTAGGAGAGGGACAGCCTACAATGAATGCCCCATAGAAAGCCTATGGGTGACATCATCACGCAGGCTCTGCAGCCGTTGTCGCTGCCTCTTTTCTACACTGAAACTGGCGCTAGGACCTGATCATATGAGCGGGCCAGAGCAGCTTCAAAGTATAGACTTCTTTTACAGGGTAAATAGAATAGTCTCAGAATGGGGGTGGGGGTATCTTTAGGCTTAGTTGGGGTCTGACTTTAAGTACATATGGTAGACCTGTGCTAGCCATCAGCCCTTGTACACCACTGGCAACCTATGGGTTTTCAGTATGTTTAGTTGGTAATGCTGGGACTGTTTAGGTCATTCAGTTCAGTTTTTGGGACAATGCAGCTACTCATTCAACACTTGGGGTCTAACTTCAACTTGGGGTTGTAGCAGACAAGAAACTTGAGCTTTGGAAAGCTCTTTGGTTCTATAATGTGGCCTGTTATGTAACATTACTGAGTCGAAGGGGAAGCCTAGGATATTGTCGCTGCCAGTAGGGTTGCACTGGCCACTAGAGATCATGATTATTATTATACAGTATTTATAAAGCGCCAATAGTTCGCTCAGCGCTGTACATTACAATGGGGGACAGAACAATAACAATACAATACAATGCAAAACATGAGGGGATCGAGGGCCCTGCTCTTTCGAGCTTACAATCTAGGAGGGAGGGGATGGTGGCACAGGAGGAGATAGCTGTGGGGGATGGAGTGGTAGGAAGAGTGGAGGAGGTTGGCAATTAGCAGGGGGTGGGGTAGGCTTCCCTGAAGAGATGGGTTTTCAGGGTGCGCCTAAAGGAGAGGAGAGTAGGTGATAATCTGATGGGTTGGGGCAGGGAGTTCCAGAGGATGGGTGACACCCTGGAGAAGTCCTGGAGGCGGGCATGGGAGGAGGAGACCAGGGAACTAGAGAGAAGGAGGTCTTGATCTCTCTTCCAGTCTCTTTTAATGTGGCTCCACTACGATGGCTGTAGTCTCTTAGCATGCGTGTCTCATGTAATGTGGAAGCCGCCAATAATGTATCCATTGTCTTAAATCAAATTGGTCACTAAAATAAAAATAATAATTAAAAAAAAAATCAAATTACCCTCTGCAAAGAAGATATTTAAAACTTCCCGGTGCTGGATTCAGAAGACTCTTCCAGCTGCGGCTTCTCTTAGATTGTAAGCTCCCAGGATCAGGCCCATCTAACCCTCTTGTATTGAACTGTATTGTTGCTGTATTGTCTCCCTTTATATTGTAAAGCGCTGAGCAAACTGTTGGCGCTCTATAAATCCTGTATAATATATATACAGCAGCAGATGGTGGAGAGGTCAGCAGGAAAGGTCAGTATTAAATATCTTCTTTTACAGGGGCACATTTGTGACTATTTTTACTTTAGTAAGGTGGTGTCTTGTTATATGACAGCAATCTGTGATAACAGAGAGGCTCCCTCGTAGTATGGCAGGGTAGAAGCAGTTTTGGATGTGCTTTTACAGGTGAAAACTGCTGTTTAGTCAGCCTGTGAGTACAGAGGGGTCTAGGGACACTAGTTGCAGATGGGGGTCAGATGCAAATCTACAGTCCTGGGGGAAATGTTATTGTCCTATTAAATACTAAGGGGTTGATTTACAAAAGGCAAATAGACTGTGCACTTTGCAAAGTGCAGTTGCTCCAGATCTTTGTAAACGATGTAAAGCTTCACTTTGCTAAGAAGACCCAATCACATGCAAGGGAAAAAAAAAACCCAACATTTTTGTTTGCACACGATTGGATGATGGAAGTCAGCAGAGCTTCTGCACATTTACTAAGCTCTGGAGCAACTGTATTTTGCAAAGTGCACAGTCTAGTTGCCTTTAGTAAATCAACCCCTTTGTGTGCAAATTTATCTTCTACTAGAATCTCAAACTATTGTCCTCTGCTGATGTTTAAAGCTGAACTCTGGGCAAATTTTTATAACTATCCCTGCAGTGGTGCTCCTCTAGAAACAAGAACCTGTGTCCCAAATGGGGGCGGTAATCAAAAGATTCTGGGAATTTTACAGGTGAATAACCTCTCAGAAAATTAACCGTCAATGCTCCATAATTACATAAAAAAACAAAGTTTATTATTCTTCACCTAACCAGGACTCCGGTTGGTCATGTGAAACACATAAAAATCAATAAAGAGACAAAAAACCAGCATCAAAGTATCAGAAAAACATATACACAGAACCCCAAAACCTTGTTTGGCTCAACCACAGCTTCCTCATGTACAGGTTGCATACATCAAATTAAAAATAGGGCATTGGACTGCTATAATACACAGTATATCATATGCATGTGCACAAAAGATTACAGTAAGATTGGTATCTGTCCCTAAAGCTGTGGTGGAGTTCTAAATATTTCGACGCGTTTCGTTAACCACTTCCAGACCGGACACTTTTACCCCCTTCCTGACCAGGGCAATTTTCAGCATTTAGCGCTATCACACTTTGAATAACAATTGCGCGGTCATGCAACACTGTACCCAAATTAATTTTTTACCATTTTTTTGAGATAGATAAAGCTTTATTTTGGTGGTATTTATTCACCACTGGGATTTGTATTTTTTTTGCTATGTAAATAAAATGACCAAAAAATTTGAAAAAAAGTGTTTTTTTTATAAAATTTTGCAAATAAATAATATTTCATCATAAATCTTAGCCAAAATTTATTCCGTTATCTTTTTAGTAAAAAAAAAAAAAAAAAATCCAAATTAGTTTTTATAAGCAAAAATTATAATTTTTAAACATTTTTTTTTTACATTTTTATTTGATTTTTTTATATTTTTTATTTTTATTTATTTTTTTTTTTTTACATACTGTCACCCTAGCAGTACAGTGTCACCATGGTGACACTGTACTACTTGTGAGGGGTGATGAAGATTTTTTTTTTTTTTTTTACACTGATTGCTTTTACACCCATATAGGATGTAAAAGCAATCATTTCTCTTTCTCTCTGTGTGCATTCTTGCACTCATTGAGAAGAACTGAGTGAGCTGTGATTGGTCACAGCTTGTCACATGGTACAAGGCTTTTGTGAATAGCTTGTACCATGTGGCCTCTGTGATCATTCACAGATTTCACACATAGTAAGCAATGATGTCAGAAGTGACATCTTGCTTACTACTTTGCATGTGATCACTGATTGGCCAATCGGTGATCACATGATCGGGACCTCGTACAGAGGTCCCATCCGACGATCGGTGTTTCACTGTGTCCGGAGGACACAGCGGGCACCGGATCGCGGTGCTGCGCGCTCCCAGGGAGCGCGCACAAGCAGGGTGCGGGGAGGCCGTTTATAGACGGCCACCCGACCCTGCAGTGCCACCCTCCGGCCGTTTATATACAACGGCCGGTCGGGAAGTGGTTAAAGATGCCTCTTCAGGAGGAGGGTGTTCTGAAGACAGTAGAGACACATAGATGGAGCCAGAGTCATAAACAGGATGATACGTCCTTGATGTGGTAGAGAGGGTCAACAGCGTCGGGCACCATGATATTTAAAGGGCAAGAGGGCACTATAGAAGGGGCACAGCCACCGAGAAAAAAAACAGAATCCAAACTGTATTCCAAGGCCCCATTGGTCACGAGAGCGTGACGCAACCCAGTCTCCGCAGTGTGGTACAGTGTGCTGCTCCTCCACATTGCAAGGGTTGAATGCTTGCGTTTGTCTTGGGTACTACTAAAAAGCAGTTTTACTTGCCTTACCCCTCACTCCTCAACCAGGCAGCACTCTCCTCTTTCTTCTGATGTTTAGGGTAGTGGGAGGTCCCTTGGTGTCCTTACTTACAATGCAGGACTGCTGGTCCTGTATTAAAAGGGGCATCAGACTGTGACCAGTGGAGCACCGAAGAGAAGCAGCCCTGGGGGACTGGTTGCATGGAAGGGAGAAAGCCTGCAGGAGCAAGGGATAATGCACATAAAACTGCTTTCTAATGGTACCCTAGGCCAGTGGTCTCCAAACAGCGGCTAGATGCAGCCCTTTCCTTGCTTATATCCTGCCCTTGGGGCACTATTTTCATCCACTGATACCAAGAATGGGACATAATCCCCCCCTACTGACACCAATGAAGGGGCAGAATTCCTCCCAATGACACCAGTGATGGGGCACTACTGCTCCCAATGATGGAGCTCAATTCCTCCCAATGATACCAACGATGGGGCCCAATGACACCAAGGATGGAGCACAATTCTTCCCAATGACACGAATGATGGAGCACAATTCTTACCAATGATGGAGCACAGTTCCTCCCAATGATACTACAGATTGGGCGCTGTTTATTCCCACTGGCGTCAGAACCTTTTCAACTCCCAATGGCCACAGTGCAGCCCCCTTTAAGTCTGAAGGACAGTAAACCGGTCCTTTGGAATGTTTGCAGACCCCTACCCTAGACAAAAGTGAGCATTTACCCATTGCAGTGCAGGGGGTGCCCCACTTTCCTGTTCAGGTGACACCCTTACACCTAATTTCTTGATCTGGTGTCACAGATTTAAAATGAGAGAAAAATCTTTCTACTATAATTCTAAATTGCTGAAAAAATCCAATTCTTCCCTTAAACTATCCAAAACTAAAAATAAAATTTGGATTAATGTCAGCCTTTTGAATGAATAGTAAAGCATCAGGGATGTGGATTTCACTACAATGTATCAAGGCAACGCTAATAGACAGTAGCTGTCTTCATATAGGATCTTCTTAATAAATCAGATCCTTAGGTCAGTTATGTTTGCTTGTCCCTCTAGTTGGTATTTCTTTTCCTTTTTGTTCATTGTTATTGATTCTTTCTTCCCAATATAGGGTCGCTGTCTATTTGCCAGTGGAAGTCCCTTTGATAAAGTGACCTTAAGTGATGGGCGATCCTTTAAACCTGGACAGGGTAACAACGCCTACATCTTTCCAGGTACAGAAAAAAAAACTTGAATACATTTTCATTATTATAGAATATTTTATCTTTATCTTACAACCATGTTATTGTTTAACCTCTTCACGCCAGCCGAACGCAAATGTGCGGCCTTCCGGCCGCACATTTGCGTTCTATTATAAAAGAACATATGTGCTGAGAGCGCGCACCCTGCACACTCTCAGCACACATGTCCGGTACTCACGGAAAGGTCCCGATCTCCTCTTTCGATCGGGACCTTTCCCGATCATGTGACGGTGTGTCACGGCGGTCACATGACTCTAAACCCCGCCTCCCGGCTTCTAAAACCCTTAAAGGGCCGGGAGGCGCCGGCGCAAAGGGGTTAAAGCTGAACTAAAGGCAAACTGGTAAATACACAGTATTCTGACTCAACTACAGGACAATAAACTTTATCTCCAGCCATGTATACAGCTATACCATGTGGTGTTGAATTTATCCCTTGCATCGGGTCAGATGAATAAACTCACATGTTGAGGAAGTCAGATGAGGAAACCCATCTGAATGTTCCGTTTAATGGCAAATATTCATAGGTCAAAAAACGTTAATGTTGTAGCCTCATGGAAGATGCATTCAGTAAGACAGGATACAGTGGAATGATTACAGAGAGAGGAAGGGGGGGGGAGAAGTATACACAAGGTGAGAGAAAGAGCTCAGCTTAGACAGAAGGAGACAGCTTAAAGACACAGAGCAATGATAAACGAGTAATAGTCACAGAGAAATAATAAATTAAATAGTGTAACACAACACACAGACAAAAACTACATATATCTGAGATGTTTTACACAAACATAATGCACAGAAACACAAAGGATGATTCTGTACATCCAATCCTGAACTTTACACTGTTTCTGCCCCAAGCACAACCCTGGGAGGGAACAATTTCTTTCTCAGTTTCACTTTCACTTACAGGTTTCTCCTTACCCATTTACTGGACAGTGAAGTGAATTAGTAGTAGACTGAGGAGCTTATCTTTCTGCCTCTGCAATACATGCATTTTACTGCATGATTTATCATTTTATAAATACTGCAAGTACAGAATTATACCTGTTAATCTGCCAGAAATCTAGTGGGCTCCTAACTTTCTGTTTGAGCTGGCTCCGCTGCACTGAAATCCCAAGAGGCTTGGTCAGCTCTGCCTGCACTATACGTAAGGAAAAGGCTCTTGGGAGACGTAGTTCTGGGAATTCAGTAGGAATAGAGCTCCTAGTAGTTGCTCCTTCAAAAAATTATAGAAGCCTGGCGATTGTATCAAATCTGTGTAAAATCTGAACAAGGAAGAAACAAAATAATGGTGGGGCATGATCTAGAGAAGAGAGGGAGGTTTGGGGGTAAATTTGGGTCATGCCTTGACATACACCTTAAAGCAAACTTGCTTGACATGCTCTGTTGAGACTTGGAGGCCGCCATAGTACTTGCCTAATGGTGTCAGTGGCCCCATGATACTGTTGTACGAAGCAAATTGGGAAACCTTCCTGAAAGATAAACCACATCTTTGACCACAAGAAACCCTTCCTATCGCCTACAGAGAGGTCAGATTAAGTCCTATTTCATAAATGATGCTGGAGATACAGAGCTTTATGGCTGTCCATTAACTATTTCTTCACAAAGCTAGTCCAACTTAGAAAATGTAAGGCTCCTTTTCACGAAGGGTCCACTCAGGTCCGCCTGTCAGTTTTTTAGACAGATCTGATCAAACAATTGGACTGACAGGTGTAAATGGGACGTGTCTGTTTACACCCGCCTACCTCTGATCCATTCTGGACCACTAAAAAAAAAAAAAAAAAAAGGAAAGGATCCATCATGCTCTGTCTAGGCAGATCGGATCGGAGGGTAGTTGGGTGTAAATGGACAGCGGAGTCCTTTTACACCTGGCCGCCCATAGAGCAGAGCGGGCTCTGGGCACATCCGCTTTGCATAAACTGGGTGGGCATGGACCGGTCAACCGTCCCCGCTCTGATCAGCAGGAGATCAGAGGATAGATCCCTTGCTGAACAAAACAGAGTCCGCCTCTTTTGAAAAGGGCCCAATAGAAAATGTTGTCTTGAAATTATGACCTACGGGAAGCATGTAAATGTATCTACATTCAACCAATAGTTACTTTTGTAAAAACTAACCATGTGTAAAAATGCCATACAGGGAAGTGCTCAAAAGCAAGTCTTTGTTAGCCTTGCTGTCATTAAGCCATGTGTACCCCTGCTCTTGTAGGTGTGGCCTTGGCGGTTATCTTGAGCGGGGTGCGGCACATAAGCGACCGTGTATTCCTTGAAGCTGCAAAGGTGAGCAATCCTGTAATATGTACAGTATTTTCTGGCGTATAAGACTACTTTTTATACTTAAAAAATACCCCAAAAATTGGGGGTCGTCTTGTACGCGGGGTATAAAATGTGAACCTTGAGTTTGTTTGGGTCAAGCTGGCTGGATGTGCAGTAATGTACATACAGTATACCGTGCTGAGCCAAGCTGGCTCAAACAAATGTCCCTATGACAGATTAATCTGTCAGCCCGCTGGAGGTGCGGTATATACAGTATACTGTGCGCTGAACCAAGCGGTTTCAAAACGTACCGGTACGTCCCTACTGTAATCAGCCCGCTGGATGTGTGTATGTACGGTAGCTGCGGCTACATACAGTATACACTGGGCCAATCACGGCGAGTGATGTATTCTACTAATGAATACAAAGCCTGCTCAGATTGGCTGAGTCAGAGAGGTGGGCTGATGATGTCACAGCCTCAGCCAATCCGAGCAGGCTTTGTATTCATTAGTAGAATACATCGCTCACCGTGATTGGCCCAGCGTATATACTGTATGTAGCCTCAGCTACCGTACATACACGCATCCAGCGGCTGATTACAGTAGGGACGTACCGGTACGTTTTTGAAACCGCTTGGGCTCAGCGCAGTATACTGTATATACCGCACAACATCCAGCGGGCTGACAGATAATCTGTCAAAGGGACATTTTTTTTTTTGTCAGCTTGGCTCAGCGCGGTATACTGTATGTACATTACTGCACATCCAGCGGGCTGTATATATATACCGTATACTGTATGTAGCCGAAGCTACCGTATTACCGCACATCCAGTGGTAACCATCTGACTTGGAATTTGATCATATGATGACTGTCTTACAAATGTATCACAAGATGTCATTCATGAACTTATGATGTCAGAGGATGAACATGACGATTTTGAAGGAGTTTAACTACCGGTAAGTGATAACCATTTCAATTAAAAAATCTGATGTTTTTTGGTGGTTTGCCTCGGAAGGGGGGTAGTCTTATACGGCGAGTATAGCCCAAAACCTATGTCTTAACTGGAAAATTAGGGGGTCATCTTATACACCCAATTGCCTTATACACCGGAAAAATACGGTAGTAATTTGCTTATTTTATTGTTTTTGTTGTGAGTTTTTTAAACTGTTGTTTTCTGGGGCGGTTTTCTGTACGTATTCAATCTTTGATTTACAAAAAAAAAAACATTCTACATTGCAAAGGATTCCCAAAGCACCACAAGTTAGCTAAACAGACAACACAGCAGTAGAAGTCTGCCTTGAAGTGGCCTTTTTTGATTGAAACTTTGGATTGAGCTGTCTGGTGTTGGATGATTCACTGCTGTGAATCATTCATCTATATTCACTTAATCTTGAGTGATCAAGACCTGTAAACAAGCTTTTTCAGCAGACTGTATGGAAAACCAAAAGGAAAATGATTTTGTTTCTGGCTTTGTAGCTGTTGGTGAGTTCACCTGTCTTACTGTGTGGTATTACATCAGCTGCACAGAAAGTGAGGGGAAATCTTTCTAAAAGAGCCCTGGATAGCAAGACCCAAAACCAAGAAAAAATGTTATGACTGGACACACATTATAAAGAAATTGCAAGCTAGTTGGGTATCCCCTGACCTCTCCTGTCTCGACCCATTTTACTTTCTGTGAGGATAATTACAAATGGCACCCATAAATAATGACCGGGTGGAAATCAGGAATGAACCACCACATCCCTTCTACATACTGAACACACGTAACCGTGGATAAACCGAGGAATTGCATCAACTGGGACTTTTAAGGTGGGTGATCTCTCAAAGAAAATCTCACAAAAGTTATTAAAGCAAATTAATTTTATTACATATAGGTATTTAAAACAATCACAGGTACGTAACATCCCTAATATCGCTAGAATTATTATTATTATACAGTATTTATATAGCGCCAAAGGGTATGCTCAGCGCTGTACAGTAGCAAGGGGGACATAACATGAGACAAGACAGTAACAATACACTACACGAGGGGTTCGAGGGCCCTGCTCTTTCGAGCTTACAATCTAGGAGGGAGGGGAAGGTGGCACAGGAGGAGATGGCTGTGGGGGATAGAGTGGTGGGTGGAGTGGAGGAGATTAGTTGTTAGGTGAGGTCGGGTGTTAGGTGAGGTTGGGGTAGGCTTCCCTGAAGAGGAGGGTTTTCAGGGTGCGCCTGAAGGTGAGGAGGGTAGGTGACAGTCTGATGGATTGGGGTAGGGAGTTCCAGAGGATGGGGGAAGTCCTGGAGAAGTCCTGCAGTCGGGCGTGGGAGGAGGAGACCAGGGAGTTAGAGAGTAGGAGGTCCTGTGAGGAGCGGAGGGCACGGGTAGGGTAGTATCTGGGTATCAGGTCAGTTATGTAGTTCGGGGCGGCATTGTGAGTGGCCTTGTAGGTCAGGGTTAGCAGCTTGAACTTGATGCGTTGGGCAATCGGGAGCCAATGAAGGGATTGGCAGAGGGGGGTGGCAGATGTGGAGCGGTTGGTGAGGTGGATGAGTCTGGCCGCTGAGTGTAGGATCGACTGGAGTGGGGATAGCATTCGTTTGGGTAGGCCAGTGAGAAGGGAGTTGCAATAGTCCAGGCGTGAGATGATGGGGGAGTGTACGAGTTGTTTGGTGGTGTCTGGGGTGAGGAATGTGCGTATCTTGGAGATGTTGCGGAGGTGGAGCCTGCAAGATTTAGATAGCAGTTGGATGTGGGGTAGGAAGGAGAGGTGGGAGTCCAGGGTGACACCCAGGACTTTGGCGTGTGGGGTGGGAGAGATGGTGGCGTTGTTAAATCAATCATACATCCTATCCTATGCTCAACTGTATAATGCCAACCTAAGATCAAGTGTAGTATCTGTTCTTATGAACGTGCATCCCCAGTTTAAGTCACTGTATAGTAAGTCTTATACATTACCCGGGAGGGAAAAAGCCCCAACACTTCTGTAGGGAATAAATGAATGCACTACACCATTCCCAAGTCTGGCATGCTTCATCCAGAAAATGTTAACGGGGACGCAAAAAGTCCGCAACATTCAGTGCCCCTTGTAGATAGATACAAAGATAAACGGGTGTTCCCCCAAAAGGGTTTTTCTTCTTTTTGCACAGCGCCCTAAGGACCAGGTCTTTTGGTATGTAAGTCCGGGGACCAGCAATTTTTGCTACAGGCCTCAGGGCCTGGTCTGTGCCACTATTAGGCACGGTACCAATTTTTTATTTTATTCTATTTATTTAAACCACTCCCACGTTTTGGTCATTCATGTGGTGTTTTTTCAATGGACCTCCTTACCTGAACCACAGGTGTATCCGGTTTCTTCCTCCCCTGATGCCTAGGCTTGGAGAACCCCCTGCTTCTACAAATGTTGGCTTCGGCTGGGCATAAGGAACGGTGGTCCACCAGGCTCTGGCCAGGAGGCTCAAAGGGACCTTGTCCTGTCAGGAGGTGCCCCCGGGGATAGGGTGAACGGTCCAACCCTTTCGGGGGTAGGACAAACAATAAGTCCACGTTTTTCCGTGGTGACATTTCCTGGCTACGGGTTTTTAATATTCCACGTTTGCTCTTAAAAAAAAATTAGTGGGATTATAACAAAGTGGAAGCAACTGGGGCAACTCAGCCACCAAGTGGTAGGCCACATAAAATGACAGAACGTCGGTGCATGATGAAGTGCGCAGAAGTCGCCAACTGTCTGCAGAGTCAATAGCTAAAGACCTCCAAACTTGGTGTGGTCTTCAGATTAGCACAACAACATTGCATAGAGCGCTTCATGGAATGGGTTTCCATGGCCGAGCAGCTGCATCCAAACCTTACATCACCAAGTGCAATGCAAAGCGTCGGATGCCGTGGTGTAAAGCATGCCGCCACTGGACTCTGGAGCAGTGGAGACGTGTTCTCTGGAGTGACCAATCACGCTTCTCTGTCTTGCAATTCAATGGACATGTGTCTGGGTTTGGCGGTTGCCAGTTGAACGATACTTGCCTGACTGCATTGTGCCAAGTGTAAAGTTTGGTGGAGGGGGGGAATATGGTGTGGGGTTGTTTTTCAGGGGTTGGACTTGGTTCCCCTAGTTCCTGTGAAGGGAACTCTTAAGGTGTCAGTGTACCAAGACATTTTGGACAATTTCATGCTTCTAACTTTGTGGGAGGAGTTTGGGGATGGCCCTTTCCTGTTCCAACATGACTGCACAAAGCAAGATCCATAAAGACATGGATGAGTGTGCAGGACAGTCAAGTTCCTCCACCCCAAACTCAGAGTCCTGACCTCAACCCCATAGAACATCTTTGGGATAAATTAGAGTGGAGACTGCGAGCCAGGCCTCCTCCCCCGACATCAGTGCCTGACTTCACAAATGTGTTTCTGGAAGAATGGTCCAACCTTCCCATAGACACCCTCCTAAACCTTGTGGACAGCCTTCCCAGAAGAGTTGAAGCTGTTATAGCTGCAAAGGGCGGGGCCCAACTCAATATTGAACCCTACGGACTAAGACTGGGGGGCCATTACAGTTCATGTGTGTGGAAAGGCCGGCCGACCAATACTTGGGGCAATATAGTGGCAAATAGTGCAGAGCTTCCACTAAGTTCTGATCAGTGATTTACACAAATAAATGAAGAGCGCAATAAATCCAAATAGTGAACATCTCTGAAGAACTTGCTAGTGCATAGTGACACTAAATCACCAGAAACACATAAAATTAAATAAGAAACATAAAATCTATTTGTGAGTCCCATACACCATTCAATTGTCATGCAATCCTAGACGAATCAGTGATTCTCTTCCCAGAAGATGATCTTAACCATGAACACACACCACAGTGCCCTTCACCACACCTCATGGGTGTCCTCTCACCTTTTCTGTAGGACCTCACTGTGCTGAAGGAGGTCAATTGCACTTTATTAACAAAGACACGGTTTCTCTCGAAAACTCCACACACCCCGATCATCAAATTCTCAGCTCCAGCGATAACACAAGGGAAGCAAGAAATAGGCCAGAAGTGCAGACCACTAATCCAGTTTTATTAAAAAGTGAAAATAACACTCACATTTCAGAAGAGGCAATAGGCATATCTCATAGTACTTATACATATGGAGTCCTGACTCCGCTCAGCATGATGACGTCACCCGCCCTCCTGATGCGTTTAGGCTTTCTCAAATACTTTAAAAAAAAAAAATATATATATATATATATATATTATACAGGATTTATATAGCGCCAACAGTTTGCTCAGCGCTTTACAATATAAATAGAGATAGATATATAGATATATATGAGGTGTGACAATTTAATTCCCCGAATGCCCACAGCCATTCGCACTCCAATGTGTCCTGAAGTGTTTCTAACTTGCAACAGGCCTGGGTCAGAAAAAAGGGGAAAAAACCTGCGCTACACCCCAGACAATACAATATGTGAATAAATGTGTGAAAAAATATATATATTCTGAAACAATAGTGAAACCGTTAGTGAACTTCTGCTACTCTTTCCCTGAACACCAGAAAATACAAAACATATAAAAAATGAGTGTACTGTACACTAAAAAAAATCATAAACCATAATAAATCAAATAAATTATATTGTTTAAAGCGCTGAGCAAACTGTTGGCGCTATATAAATCCTGTATAATAAATACTGCTACAAAATAAAAGTACATAAATTTATTGAAATGATATAAGTCCACATTCACATATTAAATAATTAAAAGTCCCAAAATCCAATAACAATAGCTGTGTGCTAAAGAAATCCTCCAATGGAAAGTGCATAGGTGTCCACAAATGCTTGACACAAAAGAAAAAATCAGCCTCTTACCAGACACTTTGATCAATCAAGAGACCAAACGAGCAGATGGTGTTCAGATCCCACACTGACACCTAGATAGCCGTATCAAGGAGATGAATGGACAACCGCAGGTTCACCTGAATGAATCCATCACATCAGACAGCTCTCCACATCATGCAAGGAAAGGTTTAAAACAGAAGAAGAAAACTTCATAGTGCGACCTGCTAAACCAGCACATAAGTTATTGAAGTATTGCACTTACATAGAGAAGGTGTATAAAGGCAGTGTAAACATTTAAAATTCCCGCGGTGTCAGACCACCAGCCGGAACAAGGTGACGTCACAGAAAGCTCCGCCCGATGCGTTTCTCCAAAAATGACGTCTTCTGGGATTGGAGAACAGTCGCAGACCAGCTGGCTCAGTCTTTACAGAGTAGTAGAAGAAATAACACGTGTGTGTCATGGCTGGAATCTGGAGCAGTGAATTAACATAAAATTTTGTGTGAAAATTGGCAAAAGTGCGATAGTCCCTGTTTTGTTTATAAGTTCATTATCTCATTAACTGTTTTCCTAGGCTTTGGCAGAACAGCTAACAGCCGAAGAGCTGGACCAGGGCCGTCTGTACCCACCGCTGTCCAACATCCGCGAGGTCTCCATATATATCGCTGTTAAAGTAAGTGACACCCATCTGCTGCTTCTTCTGGGTCACATCACACTATTAACCTCTTGCCGTCCGCCTGCTGTTGATAAACGGCAGGGCGGTGGCAGTCCAGGGGCGGGTTGCCGTTCATAAACGGCACCCGCCTTTTTCTAGCTGTGCGTGCTCCCTGGGAGCACGCAGCACCACGATCCGGTGCCTGCTGTGTCCTCCGGACACAGTGAAACACCGATCGTTGGACGGGACCTCTGTACGAGGTCCCAATCATGTGATCACTGATTGGCCAATCAGTGATCACATGCAAAGTAGTAAGCAAGATGTCACTTGTGACATCATTGCTTACTACGTGTGAAATCTGTGAATGATCACAGAGGTCACATGGTACAAGGCTATTCACAACAGCCTTGTACCATGTGACAAGCTGTGACCAATCACAGCTCACTCAGTACTTCTCAATGACTGCAAGAATGCAGACAGAGAGAAAGAGAAATGATTGCTTTTATATCCTATATGGGTGTAAAAGCAATCAGTGTAAAAAAAAAATAAAAAAATCTTCATCACCCCCCACAAGTAGTACAGTGTCACCATGGTGACACTGTACTGCTAGGGTGACAGTATGTAAAAAAAAAATAAATAAAAATGTAAAAAAAAAATGTTTAAAAATTATAATTTTTGGTTATAAACTAATTTGGATTTTTTTTATTACTAAAAAAATAACGGAATAAATTTTGGCCAAGATTTATGATGAAATATTTATTTGCAAAATTTTATTAAAAAAAACTTTTTTTCAAAATTTTTGGACTTTTTCATTTACATAGTAAAAAAAAAATAAAAATCCCAGCGATGAATAAATACCACCAAAATAAAGCTTTATCTGTCTCAAAAAAATGGTAAAAAATTCATATGGGTACAGTGTTGCATGACCGCGCAATTGTCATTCAAAGTGTGATAGCGATGAAAGCTGAAAATTGCCCTGGACAGGAAGGGGGTGAAAGTGTCCGGACAGGAAGTGGTTAAAGTGCATGTATGGCGAAAACTTTTTTTTTTTTTTTTTTTTTTTTAAGTTTTGGTTAGAGTGGAGGTACAGGAAAGGGATAAATCCTCTCTGTTTTTTTCCTTTGCTGTCTGTATCAATGTGTCGCTTTTTCTCCAGGAGATGCAATAGGGAGTTAAAGGAAGTCCTAATGTTAGGGCATTCTTATCTTACTGAGTTGTCACCACTTGTGTTCTGCTTTCCTGATAGCTCCAAAATTTTCCCTTACTTTCTGTTCTGGGGACATCATCAGGACAAGGACAGGGTGAGTCTCTCTATCAGAGAGACACAGACTACAAAGAAAACTTGGTGGGGGGGGGGGGGGGGTTTCACCCTGCCCCCACTCTATCCAAGATTTTTAAATCAATTTTACCTTTTACATAGATGCCAACCACTGGAGGATTGTTGAATGCACGATACACCACCTAAAAACTTCAGCAAATGTATTTGTTTTGTGAAAGCAGAAGCCCGGCAGAATAAAATGGTGGTAGCTGCCATTTTGTTGTTGCACGATATTTGCACAACTGTTTATCAAATGAATTTTAGTGCACAAAAACACAGTATGTAAGCCTTAAAAGATGAAGTTGTGTTCAGTAAATGGATACCAAACATGTCTGACCTTAAAGTGGTGGTTGTAAATCAGGGGTATTGAATTAAAATTCAAGGAGGTCCGGTCACTAAAAATTTTCTTCTGGCCGAGGTCCAAATAGGGTGTGCCCATCAGTGTGCCCCCTTACATTAGGTGTCACCGTCAGAGGGCAACTTTACATCATGTATTCCCATCACATCAGGTGCACCCATCAGAATGCTCCTTTAAATCAGTTGTCCCCATCAGAATGCTCCTTTAAATCAGTTGTCCCCATCAGAGTGCCCCCTTACATTAGTTGTCCCCATCAGAGTGCTCCTTTCCATCAGGTATTCCCATCAGAGTGCCCTGTTACACTCAAAGTGCCCCTTTCCACCATATTTCCCCATCAGAGTGCCCCCCTTTACATCATATTCCCCATCAGAGTGCCCCTTTCCACAGTATTTGCCTATTTGTGCCCCCTTAACTTAAAATGTGCCCATTAGGGTGCCTCTTAAAGCATGCTAATGGGCACATTTATATTAAGAGGCACTCTGATGGGCACATTTATATTAAGGGGCACTCTGATGGGTACATTTATATTAAGGGGCACTCTGATGGGCACATTTATATTAAGGGGCACTCTTCTGATGGGCACATTTATATTAAGGGGCACTCTTCTGATGGGCACATTTATATTAAGGGGCACTGTGATGGGCACATTTATATTAAGGGGCACTCTGATGGCACATTTATATTAAGGGCACTCTTCTGATGGGCACATTTATATTAAGGGGCACTCTGATGGGCACATTTATATTAAGGGGCACTGTGATGGGCACATTTATATTAAGGGGCACTCTGGCACATTTATATTAAGGGGCACTCTTCTGATGGGGCACATTTATATTTAATGGGCACATTTATATTAAGGGGCACCCTAGTGGGTACATTTTATATATTAAGGGGCACTCTGACGGGCACATGTTATGTTAAGGGGCACTCTGATGGCATTCTATATTGTCCCCATCAGCGTGCCCCTTAACATTCAATGTGCCCATCAGAGTGCCCCTGTAAGACTACACCCTACCTTGAGGGCAGACAGGAACTGTGTCAGGATTGCCAGGTTGCTTGTGTACAGGCAGGGAGCGGGAGCCGTAGAGACAGTGAGCTGCAAGGTGCGGGGCGCACACATGATGTCATGTTGCCTTGACGACCGCCCTGCTCAGCAGCAGATCTGTTATTGTGGTCTGGTGGTCCAGAAGGGAGCGTTGCTGGGGCCATTCTCTGACCGCGGTCTGCCATTTACTGACTGCTGCTGTAAATGCTCCGATTTTGAAAATATAAAAATAACAAACATGTCATACTTACCTGCTCTGTGCTATGGTTTTGCATAGAGCAGCTTCTATCTTTCTCCTCTGGGGTCCCTCGCTGGCGCTCACGGCTCCCCACCCCCACTGAGTGCCTCCATAGCAGGCCACTTGCTTGCTCTATTGACACGTAGAGTGCAGCTTGGCCCCGCCCCCTGAAAATGTGAATGACAGCAGCAGGAGCCAATGAGAACTGCCTTACTCTTTGCTCTCTCACTGTTTTCAGCAGTACTAAACGTATGTGGTGCAATTACATTTTTGTGTGTGTGTGTGTGTTTTGCACCGAAATGAAAATTCTGGTGCAGAAACAGATACCAAAATTTCAGAATGCATACAAACTGAAATGTATGTGGGGGTGGGGAGGCTCCAATTTTTTTTTTATATTTTGTTTTCTACTTTCTCGTGTATTTTTATTTTTTTTCACTTATGGTTTTATTGCTATCACATAGAGGACCAATAGTCCCCTATGTGATACCATATGAGTGACAGGCCATCTTTGTAGGAGGGGGCAGGAGAGGAGCAGTGTATACAGTGTGTGTGTGTGTGTGTGCGTGTGTATGGGGTTGCTTTAAAAATATTTTTTTTCAATTTAGAGTTGTTTTATTATAACCTAATTTTTTAACCCCCGACCCCCCCGTTTTTTTTTCATTTAAAGCAGAACTTTACCCATAACAGCTTGATAAGAAATAATGTTCTTTACCAAGGAACACAAATTCCACAATAATAATTATGCTACCAAAATTAGTGTGTGCTGTAAATGGCCTCCAGCATTGCTCCTGTTTCTTCTTGCTGGAGGCTGCCATTTTGTTGAAGCCCAAAGTCCTGAGCAGCAGTAAATCTTTAGGGCATCAGCAGGTTGGCCTCTACAAATCTGACACAGTGCCTAAAAATAGAAAGCAACTGAGCATGTGCAGAACAGGGTGGGACCGTATATTGCCAATTTTAAACTGTTTTTAAGTGCTTATTTTAAAATATTATACTTCACTATAACAAGAAGTTACATAGTTAGTCTGGCTGAAAAAAAGACAAAAGTCCATCCAGTTCAACCATAGAAGAAAAAGTGATCTAGCAGCACTTAATTTTCTGACTAAAACTTCACTTTACCTTTATTGCTATCACAGGTGGGCTAACAAGTCCACTATGTAATTGCATTGGCAGGTGACAGGTTCCCTTTATGGAGACATCATACGTCTCCCCTGCCCTCCACTACAGCCGAACAAGCACAGTACCATAAAAGTGATCGAGTGGCTCTTTAGTTCCCCAAGTCACTTTTACATGAATGCCAGGAGCTGGCTGGAAGAAGATAATACCAAGCGCATGGCTGCAGCAGCTGTGAGCGTGTTGTAACCCCTTCAATACCAGGACGTTTATTAACATACCTTGTAGATAAAGGGTTAAAGTATGTTGTAAGCCCTGCCTAGTTGAATTACAGAAAACCATCATGTTTTGGCAATGAGGAAAGGGGTGGTGTTCTGTAGTCCCAAGTCAGGAGAGCAGCCTAGGGTGATAGCAAGGGGTGACAACTCATGGGGCCCCTGTGTCCTTGCCCAAACTCAAAGCCTATGAAAAAGGTACCAGGGGCATCTCATGGGGCCCCCTACTGACCCTGGGCTCTCGGGCAGTGCCCGAGTTTCCAAATGGTCAGTCCACCCCCCTGGTGACAGCACTACTCCTTCATATACATGCAGTACAGTGAATGTGGGTTGTCACCCTAGGTGTAGCAGTCATCACATCGAAGGACTGTCTGTTTCTGTTTCTGGGTTTAGTTACACTTTAAATGTCATTCACAGATAAAAAATGATCACAAGTCATATCAGTGAATAAATGCATTCTGTTCTCACATAAAATGGCAGAGGGCTGTGCTCTGAACTTGTCCACCTTTCTTTTTTTTTTTCTCCAGGTGATGGATTTTGTTTACAGAAATGGCATGGCTTTCCATTACCCAGAGCCTCTAGATAAGGATGCCTACGTGCGTTCCAAAGTGTGGAGCACCGAGTACGACTCCTTCTTACCGGATATCTACGAGTGGCCAGAGTATGCATCCAAGCCTCACAAAATGTTCTGACCTGGCAGCTGACTCCTCCATCCTCAGAGATCACTTTATACATGACCACGCATGAAAATTGGGTCCAACCTTCAATTTCCTCGTGCCTTTTACAGCTTCCAAATTTAAATACGCTGTCCTTGACACAGTAAAAAAAAAAAAACCTCATTACCTGAATGTCAAATTTGGCCGAAATGGATTTCTTACTGCAGGTTACGATGTCCCACCAGGTTCCTCAAGGTGCCTGGCTCCCCAGTGGACATCTCCTACTGTTCCCCTCAATCCAAGGCATTCTCTTAATATCTAGTAATGTAACTGCATCTTCTTTTATTCTTTATAGCAGGAGATACCGGATGACAGGCCTCTTGTAGACAGTCCTAGACTTCTTGCTTAACCCAATAAAGGATAAAACCCTACAAGAGTCCTCCTAGGATAGTCCTCGTTGTTTGGGCTCAACCTTTAAAGTAGACCCCCCCAAGACATTAAAATGGCTGGTGCATGCAGATGTATTAACACCATGAGTTTTTTTTTTTTTTATAATCCCAAGAAGTCTTTTTAAAATCTTACCTTTTTTTCCTGGCACTTCCTTGTTTTCAGTAGGCCCTGGTGATGTAGCCAGGGCCTCACAGGTGCCCCATAGGAAGGCCATGTCATCAGTGCCTTCCAGATCTTGCAGATGCGCCATACAGGTCCTGATGAGACTTGCGTCTGTATAACAAATCGCCCTAGGTCTCATATGGTGCTTGAAAATACAAAAACTAGGGTGGGTTGTCATTGTTCAATAGCAAACCATTCCAGGTCTCTTACTGCACATGTCTGAAGTTGCACGTGTACAATATGAGAGTTGGAGCAGCTTGTACTGTTTAATAGCAAGCCGCTTCAGAGATCGTACTGCCCATGGTACAACATGAGGAAGAAGAAGCCTGCCGCTGGTGACGTACCTTCTGAACAAGGCAGGAATGGGGCACAGGCACATGAGATCCAGTGAGATGAGGCAAACTGGGAACAAAAGACACATTTATACATTTAAAGTGGAGTTTCAGCCCCCGCCACCTCCCAAAAAAAAATATTAAAACTCAGCAGCTACAACTACTGTGGCTGCTGACTTTCAATAGTAGGGAACTTACCTGTCCAGGCATCCAGCAGTGTCCTCGCCCCGAGCCGATTCTTCATTCGGATGTTGGGTGCTTGACTAAGGGAAACTGGCAGTGAAGCCTTGTGGCTTCACCACCAGTTTTCTACTGCGCATGCGCACTGCGCTTTGTGAACGGTCTGCAGTCCTCTGGAACCTTGGAAGTGTCCCAGACAGCTGCGGGGGGTGCCGAACCTCCGGCTGAGTTCAGTTGGAAGTGGGAGCGGGTACCTGCTCCCTCCAAAAGGTGCCAAATGTGGCAGCGGAGGGCTGAAGAAGGCAGAAAAGCAGAGCTTATACTTTTGGGTGGAACTCCGCTTCAAGTTTACTTGTTTCCATATAAAGTATTGGATCACATTGGCAGTTTTTTAAGATGAGGGGGAGGTCCACTTTAAAGTCTTCCCAAAAACCTATTTGTTTTTATGAAGGGAATTTTAGGTGTCCAAAGCACCCCCTACTTTCTTCTAAGATACCTCTGTCCCTTGCTACAGGTATAATGGCCCTGGTAGTGTTCAAGCTTGCCTGCCTGCTTCTACTTTTTAAAGATTCCTATTGGACAGTAAGACAGCCCATTATAGTGATGGACCCATAAGAATATATGGGGGCAAGGTAAAGTGGACAAGTTTTATTATCTGGAAGTGTCAGAACTTTGCCTGATCGGAATGACCCAGCATTTGGACACACCTGGGAGCCTGAAAACTGTGGCAAGTTTGAGTTGGGTTCTCTAGGTGCAGGTTGCCATTGCCCATGGACTGTCTGTGCAATTGCTGCAAATTTCATACAGCACGTTGCTTTTAGCTAGCATCATCTTCGCTAATTGTACCCCATCCAAGTGAATGGAACCATGATGCAGCCATATCTAATGCAGCATGGCGGGATTTCCACCAAAAAAAAAGTACAGGTGACCAGGAGGCAGGATTTCACCTCCAAGCCACCTGTCAACCAGCTATGAAAAGTAGTCCATCATGGATCACTTTTCAGGGCTTTCAACAAAACCAGCTGTCCTTGTGAATGAAGCCTTAAAGGTAACTGGTGTCCCATGTGCATTTAGAAAATTTAGTAAGACCCCCAAATACCATGCCAAGAGTCTAAAGGTAGTAGAGAGGTTGCTGTTGGAAATACAAATGGTGAAGTCTTGGCACTACAATCCTACAAAATGCTCAAGATTATTGCAGCCGAGAGTTTTATGTAGACATGACAGAAAAGTGAAACCTTCTCAAAGGTCTAGGTACCTTGTCCCCAGGTTTCAGCACCAATGACCAAGTTGTGAACTAGGCAGGATAGTGTCTATAGTGGGAGGTAAAGGCATACAAACATTTTTTTTTTTTTTTTGTTTTTGTTTTTTAATTTATTTAGTCCAGCATGTGTCTGTGTGGCCTGTGCTTTCTCCAACACTGGAATTTATTATGACACACACTGACGTCATTGATAGTAGTGGCATGTGGTTTACTATGTGGACTTTTGCCGAACGCGTTCCAAGACATTCTCACTGCGCTGTGAATTCCAGCCTCATAAAACTACAATTAGGTTTATTCATTGTACAAATAAATGGAAATACCATAAACAGCGCACTCAAAACTATATATGCTCTTAAATAATATATATAAATATAAACAAAATAAATAAATCATTATATAAATAAATAAAATACTGCCACCAAAACAAATTAATATGTGCAAGAAATGTGAGACATCAAAAATAATGAGTCCTAATAAAGTGTAGTCCATATTATTTTCTTCAAAAAATAAATTCGCCACAACTGTTAATTCCTTTGTGCTCAACACCCATTATTTGTGCAAAAATAATGGGTTAAATAATGGGTGTTGAGCACAAAGGAATTCACAGTTGTGGCAAATTTACACTTTATTAGGACTCATTATTTTTGATGTCTCACATTTTTTGCACATATTAATTTGCTTTGGTGGCGGTTTTTTATTTATATATTGATTTATTTATTATGTTGATGGGGAAATCAAGCTTTTTTTTTTTTTTTTTTTTTCCACCCATGGTGAAAGGAAGGAAAATCGCATAATCTACGGGCTGCTTTAGAGAACCTATACTGTAGTTGCAGTATAGCAGACTGCATCTTCTAAAATGTATAATGTAATGCTAATGGTATTTGTTTTTTTATACTGTGTTTGCAGTGGTTTAAACCTTTTAGACATCAATCGTCCACTTTCCATATCTATTAAAATCCAAACTGTGGAATTTTGGCAGCAAGAGATATGTTCTCATAACATTCCCAGATATGTGTGTGAGTTTTAATATGACAATCGACAATCTGAATGTAATCGGCCACATATGGCTGATTGTTTTATTGAGATTACTAATAGTCATCAGTCTGTATGAAAATATCTTCGTCCAGTTTTAAAAACGGGTCTCACATTTCCCCAAGCTTCTGAAATGCTCACATGCTATCTTAGTAGGTATTGCTTGTTGGTTGAGTCTTCTAGTCCTCTGCTGGAAATGAGCAGGACATGCAGAAGTGTTTTATATACATATACCCTCAGTGACCATTTTATTAGGTACACCTAGAACCTCCCATTCTTTCAGAGAGTTCTTTGTGCAATTGGTATAAAAAAGTGCTGGAAACATTTTTTACAAGGGTTTTGGTTCATATTGCCTTGAAGGCCTCCTATGGAACATCATGCAAATTTCCCAAAGGTCCATGATGTGAACCCTCTTCCCAATGGTCGTTACAGAATTTTCTAAATTCTGCTACCTTCTGGGTTTTTGGGAGTCCCCCTAATTTGACTATACTAGCCTTCTTGACCATTTTCATTAGGTGGGTACCTGGAAGTTTCAGCCCTCTATTCTTTCAGAGAGTTCTTTGTAAAACAGGATTAAAAAAAAGTGCTGGAAACGTGTTTCCCAGGGGTTTTGGTTCATACCCCCATGCTAGCCTCACATGAATCCTAAGATTTGTTGGCCACATATGCCAAAATGCCTGTGAACCTCTTCCCAAATTCTTACTGGAATGTGTAAATTCTGTCCTTAATGAAACAAAATTGACATTTGTCACACCAGTTAGCATGTCTTCCAATCAACGCTATGTTTCGGAGTTTTGGTGGTCCCAATCCCTTGATGAAAGCCTTCTTGACCTGCCTACTGTTGGAAGTGGAACTCATTGTGGTCTTCTGCTGCTCTTCAATTCACATGGGGCTGTTTTGCCTTTCTGCAACAGAAGCTTTACTTCTTGTTGCAAGGTGAACTCAATGAATGTTTGTCAGTTTTGGACCATTGGATTTGGAAACTTGATGCAGTCCTCACATACATGAAGGTCTCAGGAGGTCTCTGGTTTTGAGATGCTTTAACAGGACAATCATTCCATGGCAAGCCACTTCCTTCTCCATTCTAGAGCATGGTTTTGGTGAGAAAGGCTGGAATCTCTTGGAGTGGCCATCGCAGTCACCAGACTTAGCTGCCGATGAGAATTTCTGGTGGGATTTAAAGAAAGTGTTGAGTGCGCAAGCCTAAGAATCAGTGACTGAACTGGGGCCTTTTTTTTTGAATAATGGGCTTAGTTGTACCCAAAATCGCTGCACCTTTTATTCATAAATGTGCTATGTTAAACTGCATTGTGTAGCGTAATGCATTACCTTGCTTTGTGGCTACAATTGGACATTACTAAGGCCAAATTGAATTACAGTAGGGTTGACTACCCATGATAATTGTGATTCACGCAGCAAAAGACATGAAGAATACTCATTTAACTGTATATGTTATATCTGTCTGACCTACTTGCCTCTTTATGAAATGAGCTGACATGGAATGATCTATATTGCAATTCAAACTGGCCAAAACAGTTCAATTTCTAGTTTTGAATAGGATTTTGGCCACAACTGTAGACACTGTATTGTTAAAGGAGTATAGCAGTACTGCATGTCAA